TGATTGCACCAGTTTTCATTCCCACTGACAGTGCATGAGGATTCCTAAAATGTACTTATTTTAAATGTGCAATTCATAAAGGGGGCTCCTGGGAGGGAGACTTGGTCAGTTAAGCATCTGCCTTCAGCTCAAGTCATGTTCTCAGGGTCCTGTGATGGAGTACCGCGTCTGTCTCCTTGATCAGTGGGGAGTCTGCTTCTCCCTCTGTCTGTCCCCTGCCCACCCCCTGCTTGTGTGCTCTCCCTCTCAAGTAAATAAATGAAAAATCTTCCAAAAAATACATAATTCAATAAAATTTAATAAATGGGAATACCCCTGTAACCACCTCTATAGTCATTATCCCTGCCCCACCACTGGCCCCAAGTAATTTTCCTGCCCTGTAACTTAGTTTTGTCTTTTCTAGAGTTACATTACATAAGTGGAATCATATAGTGCTCGCTCTTTTGTGTATTTTGCTGAGTGGTTTTTGGGGATTCATTATCTTGTTGAATCTGTCAGTAGTTTATTCTTTTTTTTTTTCATTAATGAGTAGTAGTCCCTTGATTGGGTATACCACAATTTATCCATTCATTTCTTTGTGGATACTTGGGCTGTTTCTAGATTTTGGCTATTATGAACAAAAAAAAGAGTTGAAATTCATTTTTCTTCTAGCTTGAGTTATTAAAAAAAACCTGTCTTTTACATACTGAATTACTTCTGCCCTATCTTAAACAGTCTATTCCTGTGTAACAGATTAACACAACTCTTTCTGGGCTTAAAGCAACATTCATCATTTATTGTCAGTTTCTGTGGACCAGCCTTTTGGGAGTGGCTTGACTGGAAGGTTCTGGCTCATGGTCTCAGGAGACTGTAGTCGTCTGAATTAAAAGCTTGACTAATGGGTGCCTGGGTGGCCTCAGTTGGTTAAGCGACTGCCTTCAGCTCAGGTGATGATCCTGGAGTCCCAGGATCAGGTCCCACATTGGGCTCCCAGCTCCATGGGGAGTGCGCTTCTCCCTCTGACCTTCTCCCCTCTCATGCTCTCTCTCTCTCTCTCAAATAAGTAAATAAAATCTTTAAAAAGAAAAAAAAGCTTAACTAATATACTTCTGAAGGGCTCTTATTCACGTTTGGTAAAGTGTGCTAACTGTTGGTAAGAGTCCTCAGTTCCTCTCCAGTTGGGCCTCTCTGAAGGGCTGCTGGTTAGATGTTCTCATGACATGGGGAGTAGCTTCTCTTAGAGTGATACCAGAAACCATGGTACAAGCTGCAGTGCCTTTTAAAGGAGGTCACGTATGGTCACTTCTGCCATATTCTATTGACATATATGGTCACACACCCAATCTTAGGAAGAAACTACACAAGATATATGAAAACTGAGAGTGAACAGTATAAGTTATGAATACCAGGAGACCAGGATCTTTGGGGGGTTATCTTGAAGGATGGTTATGACAGTTCCTTTATCAAAATTGAACTGAAGATATATATGTGGTTTTATTTCTGGACTTAATTTGGTGTCACTGATCTGTTTTCCTTTTTGACAGTATAACAATATCTTTATTACTGTAGTTTTATGTCTTAAAATCAGGTAGCATAACACTTTTTCTTTTTCAGAACTCTATACTAAGTATTTGCATTTTCAAAAAATGTTAGTCATCTTGTCAATTTTTACAAAAAAGAAACCTTCTAATTAGGATTGCATTGAATCTGTAGACCTCGCTTGGAGAGAATTAACATCTTAACAATATTATGGACATATCTTAAGATAACATGGCATGTCTCTCTAATTACTGTGTCCTTCATTTCTCTAAGCCATGTTTTGTAGTTTCATTATATAAGCTTTGCACATATTCTATTAAACTCATCTTTTAAGTATTTTATTTTTTATTGGATACTATTGTAAATTGTATTTTTTTGTATTAAATGGTATTTTTTTTAAATTACACTTTTCAGTTCTTTGCCAGAATATACAAATAAAATAGTTATTATTTTTTTGTACTAACCTTTTATCCTGAAATATTCACCTGTTAGTCTGGTAGCTTTTTGGTATATTGTACATATGGGATCATGTTATCTGTGAATAAAGACAATTTTACTTCTTCCTTTTACATAGGATAGACTCTACTATAACTAGCTTAGAACAATGTTGAATAGAAGTGGAAAGAGCAGACATATTGGTGGGGAAAAAAGAGAAACAGTGTAATACTAATAGATGCAGAAAAGGTATTTGGAAAAACTCCAATATCCATTCCTGAGAATCCATGTAAATGTGAACTCTAAAGAATGTACAAGGTTATAAAGAAGATGTGAAACCAAAATGTTTGCATTTGATTAGCGTAACCAAAATGCTAACTGATTGGAGTAGGTAGGGATTCATAATCTGGGGTCCCCAACACTTCTATAGAAAAAAAAATCTTTATTTTTCCTTAACCTCTAGTATTTGTTTCTATTTTGAATGCAGGCAACAAATCACAGTAGTGATATTAGCAGCAACTGTGACTTTGTCACCAACAAATATTACTTTTAACTTTCCTTCTATCTTTATTTAAAGATTGTTTCTGGGGCTCCTGGGTGGCTCAGTGGGTTAAAGCCTCTGCCTTCAGCTCAGGTCATGATCCCAGGATCCTGGGATCGAGCCCTGCATCTGGCTGTCTGCTCAGCAGGGAGCCTGCTTCCCCATCTCTCTCTGCCTGCTTCTCTGCCTACTTGTGATCTCTGTCTGTCAAATAAATAAATAAATAAAATCTTTTAAAAAAAAAAATGTTTCTTGGTGAAGACAACATGGTTCGGTCTTGCTTTCTTATCTTGACTTTGAATTGAAATGTTGGAATATTGAAATAGATGGTTTACATTTAATATGATGGTATGGTTGCCTTTTAATTCTGCTCCCCTGCTCTTTTCTTTTTTGCTTTTTTTCTATTTTTTCTGCTGGTTTGTTTTTGGTTTTTTGGGGTGTTTTTGCTTGTTTGTTTTGTTTTTGCTTTTTTGATGAATCAGTCTTTTTTCACTGGCTGCTCTGGGTTTTACACCATGCATCTTCAGCATATGACAGTTTACCTTCAAATAATATTATACTACTCCAAATACACTGTAAGAACCTTGAGCAACAGGCTTCCAGTCCCCTTCCTTTTCTGTGCTATTGTTGTGCTGTTACTTCTGTTTGTGGTATAAAACCTTATAGAACATTATTATTAGTTTTGCTTTAAGTAGTCAAAAAGATCTTGAAGATTTACTCTCATTTACCATTTCTGGTACTTTTTATTCCTTTTGTAATCGTCATTCCTTTATGTAGATCCAAGTTTCCATCTGTTATCATTTTCTTCCACCTGAGGAACTTCCTTTGCTTTTTTTAAATGGTACTGATGAAATTTTTTTCTAGCTTTTCCATCTTCTTCCCTTCTTTCCTTCTTTTGTTTCATTTCCTTTTCCTCCCTCCCTCCCTCCCTTTCTTTTCTATCTGAAAAAAAGCTTTATTTCACTTTCATTTTGGAAGGATAGATTCATTGTATTTAGCATTCTAGATTGACCATTTTTTTCTTTAAGCATTTTTTTTTAAAGATTTTATTTATGAGAGAGAGCACACATGAGCATGCATGAGAGGTGGTGGGGGGAGTGTGGAGCAGAGGGAGAGGGAGAAGCAGACTCCACGCTGAGCACAGAGCCTGACACAGGGCTCAATCTTAAGACCCTGAGATCACGACCTTAACACAAATCGGGAGTCTGATACTTAGCCAACTGAGCCACCCAGGCACCCCTTCTTTAAGCATTAAAGATGCTCCATTTTCTTCTTTTTTGCATAGCTTCTCAAGAAGTCTGAGTCTTCTGGGATTTCAAGAGAATTGCCTGTTTTTCAACAAGGGGAGCTTTCCTGACCAAAATTTCCAATATTTCTCAGCACCCTAGAATTGTTCAGCTTATAGATCCCTACTTATTCTTTGCCTTTATGTCATGGAGTCTCATCCTGTATGTTCTGCTTAATGTTTGGCCAGAGACTCAAGTGAACTTTGCAGATTTCTGGAATTTTCTGTGCTTAACTGCCTCTTCTCTGATGCACATTTTGGTCTCTGCTTGAGTTCTTCTTCCCTGTACCACAGTCTGAAAAGTTCCTCCAAACATAAAGCCACGGCAGGTGTAGGCCTCACTTCATCTTGTCGCAACACTCAGAGATCATAGTCCTCCTATACTGCTTATTGTCGGATGTCTGAAAACAGTTGTTTCACGTATTTTTTCTGGTGTTTTAGGTGTTTACTGTGGAATAGAAAGTCCATTCTTACTTATTCCATCATGGCCTTTGGAAATTCTTACCTGCCGTGTTAGCTTTTAAGATAACTATGGAGATAAAAAATAAAGTTTATATATATATATATATATTTTTTTTTTTTCCTTTCTAGCAATTTGGGCCTTATGGAGCATATTGCTAATCCCTAGTTATAGAGTTTTAGCAGTTTCATTAATATTCCTTTCATATCCTAATAGTTTTCAAGTAACATTTTACATGGTTCAGCTATAATAGTATAATGGACAAAATAGTATATAATTACTATATGTTATTTTAAGTAAATAAAATAGCATATACATTAATGCTAATGAGTGAACTTTTCAAAAAAGTGTGTTAAGTCATTTAAACAACAGCTTTGTAAAAAAATAAGTTCGTGATTGTAGTTATAAGACAACTACTAGTTTTAACCCGCTGAGCCACCCAGGGACCCCAAGACAACTACTAGTTTTAATCACCTTATTTTCTGGTCAAACACTCTGACAAGTAACATGAACAGGCCCTAAGGATGACTGATGCCTAGTCAAAGGTGATCTTTAATGAATTAAAATGCCTGGCAGTGGTTCTATAAACTTAGCTTAGAATCTGCATGGTTTTACTGTGTTCCTCTGTTCCCCTTAATAGCCTTAAGGGAAAAAGCAAACAAAAACCAAAGTACATCATATATTTCATGTAAGAGTTGCACATTCTTAGGCTATTCTTGGCAAGTTTATTAATCTTTAGATTTTTGTTTTTTTTTCCCCAGATTGTCAGTATTTAAACAGACCACATCATGCGTGAGTACAAGCTAGTGGTCCTTGGTTCAGGAGGCGTGGGGAAGTCTGCTCTGGTAAGTTAGCCACCTAACCCTAACTTAATTAGTATAATACAAGAAGAACATTGATATTTGCTTGTCTTAGACTTTTAGTCATTAGTGAGAAAAGGTGGCAGTATTTTTTATATGCCTAGTATTTGGCCCATAGGGGACAAAGATTCATTCAGTAACCACAGATGTGTAGCTTACAATGGTGCCTCATTCAGTCTTTCACTTAAGCAAATATTTACTGACTGCCTACCATGTACTTAGCACTCTGTGATTGTAATTCAAAGAGGAATAAGATTGTTCTCATTTTTTAAGGAACTTATATTCCAGTGGGGGAATACTGATTATTTCAAATACTAGTGGAGTAAGTCCTACCCTACTTCCACCCTAGACTTAAGTGAAATGAAGTTATTTTTTGTAGACATGCTGTATTTATTTAGCAGATATTCATTGAGCTTCTATACTGTCAGACTTTAGGGTGACAATAGTGAACAAAAACAGTCACAGTCCCTCAGAGCTTACCATGTAGTGGAAGAGATATAATAGTTACAAAGTTAAATGAAGAACTACCTCATTATAATTGTGAAAGAGATACTTTGAAAGAAAAGTACAGACTGTTAAGAGAGACTGACTGCTAGGACAAATGAACGTCAGTTAGCATTCCACCCAGGTCTGTGGCATGGGTGAACTGGAAGGCAAGTAGAGGGAAATGAAGTGAGAAGCAGGGACCACATCATGACTTGAAGGCCATATGAGAACTTGACTAATGTTGTGAGAACCCATTGAAAGTGTTTTTGTTTTTGTTTTTGTTTTTGTTTTTGTTTTTGTTTTCAGGGGCTGGGAGGTGGGAGGGGTGTTGACAGGATTAGATACATGTTTTAAAGAGAATACTTTGTTCAGTGTGGAGTGATTTAGGAGAGAAGCTGAGTGGACACGGGAGACCAGTTGGGAGTTAATGCTGAACCCCAGATTATTGTGTGGAACCTTATATTGGGGCTGTGGCAGTGAAGGAGAGAAGAGTAGATGTTTTGAGAATTAAATAACTTGGTGCTGGATTGGTTTGAGGACTAGGAGAGAAGGAGTTGTTGAGGATGATTCCCAAAGTTCTAGTTGTTGAACTACTAATTTTATGGATGGATCATTTAAGTAAAAGTGAATTACTGGAGAATGAGCAGATCTGAAAGTAAAAATCAAAAGTCATGTCAAATTTGGTTATGTGAGATGTTAAAGTAAATACATCAAATAAGTACTTAGTTCCTCAAGATAATAACCTTAAAAGAAACTTACATGATTTGGGGCACCATGTATATATCAGCAGTATTTAATTTCATGAGAATTATGTTACTTTTAAATTAGTACCTGTAAATTAGTACCTCTGTGGTGAATGAGAATATCTGTCATTTTAGATGCATATATTCAGGGCACCTGGCTGGCTCAGTTGGAAGAGCATGCGACTCTTGATCGTGGGGTTGTGAGTTTGAGCCCCACACTGGATGTATAGATTACTTAAATTAAAAAAAAAAAAAAACTTAAAAAATTAAATGTATATAACTTTAATTCAGCAAGTCTCTTGAAATTTCACATATAAGTTCATATATACAGAATAACATGGTCAAGGTTATCGATTGCAACATTCCTTACAGTGGTAAGAGTCTGGAAACAACCTAAATGTCTACCAGTAAAGGTTGGTTAAAAGTAAGTTTTTAATACACATTTTGAGTAGAATAATATATAACTATTAAAAAGAATGCAGCAGCTCTGTATGTACTGATATATAGTGATATCTCAGATGTATTATTTAGGGGGCAAGAAGGTACCACACAGTGTAGATGATCGTTTGATAACAAAGAAAAAGGGAGGGTGAGAAGCAAGATAGTATAAAATGTAGAGACCATCTCTGCAAGGTTAAATAAACTATACTGGTTACTTGGGGGTAGAATTGGATAATTGGGAACAAAGGTGATAGGTAGGGTTGGTTACTACTGCATACTCTTTTGTGTCTTTTGTATTTTATCCTATGCCCATGGTATTAACTTTTCAAAAAAAAAAAAAAAAATCCATAGGAATAATTGAAGTTGTCTAGGGAGAGATGAGAGAAAGAACAACTCAGGACTGAGCTCTGAATACCTCTCAACCTTTAAAGAGTAGATTGGATTGAAGGATCCACCATAGAAGAGTACATCTTATACTTGAATGTAAGGAAAGCATCTTTACCTGACTGCCCAGAAGTCAGGTTTAAAGGAGAGAGGAAAGAGATGATACAGAAAACACGGAGGTAGCTGGACTTGATAAAAGCAAGCTTCAGTAAGGCGATGGTGCCCTAACTGTGCTGGGGTAGGTTGTATAGTAAGTGAGTGCTGAAGAAACAGAACCCCGACTGTAGACAGGTGAAGAAGTCTGATTATCAGAGGGAGCAGAGAGAGGGGGGTGAAGCTGGAGGAGTAGTTGAGTTATGGGAAATTTTTATTTCTGGGTGGGAGATGGTAGAGCAAATGGTTTGTGTGCTGGAGGCAGTAATCCCGTGGAAAGGACAGTGGTGATATTGGAGAGGAAGGGAGTAATTGTTAAAGGTGTCAAAAGTTCAAGAAATAACAGAACTAAAATTAATGAATCATTGAAGTAACAATTAGTAAGCTCATTGTGCGCACACCAAAAAGACAGTTTGCAAACCGGGAACCTTCAAACCAGAACATGGAATGAGCCTCAGGGGTATATTGTTATAATAAAGCAGCTGATAGAGTGAGAAAGCAGTGACTCTTCAGTGACTGGTTATCGTGTTAGAATTTTCTTTAAATAATAGAGAATTGGTTCATGGTTACCTCATATCAACCTTGGGAAACTGTATGTTTTGCTTCTGATTTCCAGAGGCATAAGCAAGAAATGACCTCTAGGTCAATTTAGCTTTGCTAAATAAGCTAAATTAAGCTTTGTTTACATGACTAAACTGGTTTTATCTGCTCAGGGAATTTTCAGGCTTGTCTCTGTTTTTGATTTTAACACAGAAAGGACAGTAGGTAAAGAAGGTAGAGGAGGACTTTTATAAAATAAAAGTCGGTATCATTGAATGAGATGTCCCTGAGAACTGAGATGAGATTCAGAGAAATAATGAAAGCTTGCTTTATGAAGAAGGAAGTGAAAGGTGGGAGATTGTTTTTTATTTGTGCTAGTCTCTAACAATGGGCTTATAGAAAGCACTTAGATTCTCATACCAGCTTCTGCGTCTAGTGTCTAGCTATAGCATATGTTATATACCCTTTGGAAAAACACTGTAAATTTATGAGAAAAGTATTTGTGTCATGGTATAATGAGGACAGTAGGTTTTTTCCTAGACATCTGCTCTGGACCACATTTTGAGAACCTCTGTTCTAGTATAAGCATATTAGGAAGTTTTCCACGATCGAATTCTACAAAGTACTAAGATGATGAGGTGATTGAATCCTTGATAAAAATAATGATTAAAGTTTTTGGTATAATTATATCCTGAGTCCCCTTTGAAGAACAGGAGCTTAGTAAGAGGAAGAAGTTTGAAGTTTACTATATTCCAGTTAATGTATTTAGCTCAAGCTTAAACAGTGCATAATTTAAGTGTAGGTGACCTCAGGCCACATTCTTACCTTTCCTTACTTTTATGTGGTAGTGTACCAGACCCTATTTGAAAGCTGTCCAGGCAATATTTCACAACCATCTTCAGTACTTCTTTTTATTTACCAAATGATAAGATACCTAGTGTGAAGTCACTGTGTTTTTAGAAATCTTCGAGGGAGAAGTAGGTAATCTGGAAAAGATGAGTAAGCAGTATTTCCAATGAAAAAAGTAAGGCTTCGGAAGCAAAAAGGTTGTATATTTGGAATCTCAGCTGGCAGATGGGAAAAATAACTACTTCTAGGGAGAACATAGAACTTGGATATGACTATAAATTTAGTAAATTCGGTACTTTTTAATTTCCTTTTCTCTTTTCCCCCACAATGAGACTGTTTTAAGATTCTGGAAGATTTAGAACCTTTTGTCTCATTCCTTTAAAAGCATGAAATAAAAGTTACTATAGATACATAAAGAGGTATTAGGAGTTTAAGTACTAGTAAATTTTCATTTTTTTCATTAATTAGGATCTGTGTCCTTATTTGTATCTTTGTTGTGTTTTGAAACAATATAGTAATTATTTCACAGTGGGAGTTGGCTGCAGCATTGCTGACAGCCTTTAACATGACCATCTCCTTTCTCAATGTGCCCTCTTAGGTATGGTTGTATCCTTGTATTGAAAAATGAGACCGTACATCTGCATATTTACCCAGAATTTTCACGTAATTTCATTTAGTCTTTATCATTTTATAATGGTATAAGTAGCATTATGGAAGAGTTGATTTTTCTTTTAAGTGCTTAACTTTTCTCTGCTTTTTTTTTTCTAGACAGTTCAGTTTGTTCAGGGAATTTTTGTTGAAAAATATGACCCAACGATAGAAGATTCTTACAGAAAGGTAAAATGTGAAACTTGTGTACGCGTGCTTACAAATAGTTTCTTAGGACTTTAAAACTTGATCCATAGAATTGCTTTTTAAAAATCTTTTTTGCAAAGTGATATAAATCTTCTGTAACTGTTTTTAAAAGTTTCACCAGGACAGAGTATTTCTCATAAAATACTACTTAGCTACAGAGAGCTCTGTGTTCTGTTACTGATTAGTAATCTGTTCTTTAGTGTACACATTCTCCTGGTAGAGGGTATTTTTAATGTAGACTAGGTATATTTTTGACAACTCTTTTTGTGAAAATTAAGATCATTTTTATGCTCGAAGTTAACCAGTGACCAAAAGTTTTTATTTTGGTTTAGTTTTATAATAACTTTAAGAGATTTTTGACTATATATCTTAAGACTATAAGAAATTTGATATTGGGTTCTGTATGATACTATAATGGTAGATACATGTCATTACACATTTTCCCAACCCATAGAGTATATAACACCAAGAGTAAACCCATAAAGTAGACTATGGGCTTTGCATAATAATGATGTTTCTACGTAGGTTCACTAAGTGTAATACATGTACCAGTCTGGTGTGGGAGGCTGATGGTAGGAGAGGCTAGTGGGGAGTTGGAGAAGGGTATATGGAAACACTGTATTTTCTGCTCAGTTTTATTGTGACTCTAATGCCAAAGTTCTAAAACATGAAGATTATTCAAAAGAAAAAAATAAGTCTTGACCAAAAAATACTATTTTATTTCATTTTAGTCTAGCATTACGGGGAATTTTCATGATTTTATTTCCCAAGTATGTTAAGGAGGGAGGCAGAGAATTAAACCTTTCAACAAATAGGAAAGGATTACTTTGTTAGATGTTGTAGAATTTACCTTTAGTGGTGTCATAAGTTTTGTTAAATTATATAAGCTCATCCAGCCATACTGGCAGAGCAGTTTTGTTATCTGCAAATTGGAAATAAAATTGTGTTCTAGGTACATGGAGAAACTACAGACCTAACTCATGATTCATTTGAGCATGCGCACTTACTGATTGATTGCGCAGGTCCCCACAGGAGTCCTGTAAGTGGTGCCACAGTGGGTTTGTAACACTGCCCATGGTGCTTCTCAGTGATCCCTGAGCTGACACAGAAGCATTGAAAATAGGCCTTATGTCAATATGTTTATTTTTAGAAGTCAGTGTTGCAGTACTAAAATTGCCCCCCAAGACGCTGCTGGCTAAGCTGTAACTACAAACAGATCTGTACCTAGAATGTTGAAGATTGGACACTTTTCTTGGTTACTTCTTTATTAAAAATGTTCAACAAGGTTCATAGTTGATACTTTCTTTAGGCCAACCTTCTCTTACTTTATAAAACACTGGGGAGATAAAATTTCAGTATATAATATAAATTTAGAATATAAAATTTTACCTAATGCACATAGCTCTTCCAAAGACGTACCTTTTTCTTAAAGTCTTGAGGACTGTGTGAGTTCAGTGTTACTCATTTTAGTACCTCTGCATTCCCCTTATCTCTTAAAATTTTTCTGTGTATTTAATTTGGGGCATATTTTGGTAAAACTTTAGTAGTTGGAACGTGGTAAATTGGCAGAATTTTCTTTAAAATCTTGTCTGTATTTTGAGCTATTTAATACATTTGTGCTTTGTTTTCTTTGAAGATAATATATACATAATTTTCTACATTTTTTATTTCTGTTAGAACTATACCTGTTTGTTGCAGTTTTTCTTAAATGAGAGGATATGACCATTGCCTTATAATAGCAAAAATCATTACTCAGTTTATAGTGGTCAGAAAATATCTAAACTCAGCATTAACAATCCTGGCTTCTGTAGTATTAATAGAACATGCTTGAGACCTCCTGTTCTTTATTATAGTACCAAGTTAAATCTCAGCCAGTATAGCAAACTCCTAGAGAAAAGGCTTTGTAGTTGTTAATAGGTACTTGGAGCGAAGAGGTGGCAGGAAATTAGACTGACGTTTTAATTTTGATATTACTCTTTATTTTTCCTTCCTTCCCCAACAGCAAGTTGAAGTAGATTGCCAACAGTGTATGCTCGAAATCCTGGACACAGCAGGAACAGTAAGGATGTTTTCTCTTTTTCTGATAGATTTTAGTTGGTGAGCAGGTTTTATCGTCTGAATAATTCCTCTGAGTAAAAGTAATTGTTCTGATTAAGAACTAATTATCTAAAAGTAGGGTTTCTTAAATTTTCTTATGTGCTTCCAACCATCTGTGTTGTACTTCATACCCACATACTACTCTTAACATTGTGTTGAGTTCGCCTACAGAATGTGTACATTGCTTATCTTCTCTCTATATTGAGGTAAAGGATTACCCTATCACTGCTTTAAAAAAAGGGGGGGGTTTAAATCAAGAATTTTAGTTAAAATAGGTATTTCTCTGAGTTTCTATAAGACTGTGTCTCTTGGCACCATAGTCATTAATTTTTATCAAAATTGGTTTTGCCTTTTATTAGTATTTTAACATCTCAAGGGGCTGTTGACAGGTACATGTTTTCTGACAAAAATCTTTAGGATTATTTTGAGCCTCATTTTTCTCGACTTTAAATGACTGCTGTATGATGACATTAGTATGTCATAGGGTGCTTCTGATGATCAAATGAGATAGTGATTATAAATCCCTTGGCACAAGTGATATATAGTTATATATATGAGCTCCAAGTGTTTTCATTGCCTTCATTTGTCATCTCCTTGATAATTTTGTTATTAATTACTAATGATTTCCTGTTATACTGCCATAAATGCACATATTAAGTGATTTTTCTTTTTTTTTCCATATATGTAGACTTCACCTGTTGGGCAATTCTCAGCTTTAGAATAGATGGTATTCTTTAATGTTGTAAGTTGTTTAAAATTTAGCACAAATTTTCCACATAATTTTATAAAAATGATGAGAAAGTTTCATGTCATTAAAAAAAGCATTTAAGTAGACTGGAGCAGTTGTAGTGCTAATGATACTGTATTTTTCCATTCTTTTGTGGGAAAATAGATCTTGATTCCAGTAGGAAGCTTGGGGTCATTAGAACTACATCTTTCTTATATCTGTTGACTCAAAATATCTCCCCCTTTTGCCATTCCCCCCTATTTCCTTAGCTTCTGAATCAGCAGTCATTCCCCTCCGTTCCCAGATATGCCAAGAGTTAAAGAGCACTTTTCTCCTTTTGCCATTCATCACCTCCACAAGTGTGAAGGAGGTCTTTGTTCTTCTTGTCCAAATTAAGGAATTTCTTCCCTACCATAGAGATCTTTCCTTTGGGCCTTTAAATATCTTGTCATTCTCCCATCCTAGTGCTCAATGTACTGGGTCATAATTGCCTCTTAGTTGTCTGTGTCCCCAGGGCCTTCCATAAAGCTTGGAAAGTAGTTGATCCTCGTTGTGTCCCAGATCACTCCTTATTCCTTGAAGATTTTTACTCATTCTCTTCATCACTGCTTCAGGCAGAATTCTTGGTGATTTTAGTATTCAAATAAAATCTGTATGGATATTATAGATGATCCATTTCCTCAGCCTACCAGTTTATTGACCTCCATACTGCTTCAGCCATTCCTGCCCATGGTCTTACGTAGACTATATGATTACCAATAACAGACTATATGAATACTACCTTCATCTCACTTTTAGGCATGCTATTCTCCACCTCTTGTTGTTTTATCTCACTTTCTTTTATACTTTAAGCTTCGCTGGAACCTTCAGTCCATTTATCCCACCATCTTTGATTGTCCTCATATCCTAACCCCCTCTTCACATAGCTTCAAATCCATGGCCTGATCATTATGATCAGTCCTCTGAATGTATCCTCAACTTCCTTGGACTTTTCAGCAACCTCCAACGCAGTTGATCACTATGCTCTGTAAAAATTTTATTCCTTTGGCTTCCAGGAACCAACATTTGCTTGGTTTTCTCCCTCTATCATTGGTTATTCCTAAATCTCCTTTCCTGAGTTGTCTTCATCTCTCCAACCCCTTAATGTTGGAGGGCCTCAGGATTCAGTACTTGGACTTCTCTTTTCTAACAGCACTTTCTTGGAGGTCATCTTTAGTAGCGTCAGAATAATTTAATTAGGATCTATATGTAAAAAGGAATTATATACAGTTTTCTAAACCACACAGAAACCATGGTATATCATGATAAGGTGGTTAAGATCTCCCTTCTCATTCCTTAGTTCATTGTCATTGCTTCTAGTTGTGAAGTAGGGAACAAGAACATCTACCTCAAAGTTTCTAAAAACTGTGTAATAGGTCTTATATTCTTGTCATGAGAGCATGTAAGAAAAAATTCAGTAGCTTATATATGATTAATCAGATTTAAATTGTTCCAGTGTACATTCAAGAAATCATACTTATAATTGTACATTTTTTATTATAGGAACAATTTACAGCAATGAGGGATTTGTATATGAAGAATGGCCAAGGGTTTGCACTAGTATATTCTATTACAGCTCAGTCCACGTTTAATGACTTACAGGACCTGAGGGAACAGATTTTACGGGTTAAGGACACAGAAGATGTAAGTATTTTTCTATTTGTTTTAAAGATTGTATTAATTTATTTGAGAGAGAAAGAAAGAGACAGGACACGAGCAGAGGGGGAAAGGGAAAAGCAGACTCCCTGCTGAGCAGGGAGCCCATGGAGTTCAATCCCAGGACCCCAGGATTATAACTTGAGCCAAAGGCAGATGCTCAACCGACTAAGCCACCCAAGTGCCCCTGTTCTTCTCACTGTAAGACATACTGCTATCTCTCTGTGTCCAAATGAAAAGTGTCTCGTTTTCTATTAAGAGGATTTGGAGGGTAGCTACCACATATCTGAAGTCGTGATCAAAAAAATTTTACAACTTTCTAAATTTACCTACAAATTATATGCTAAGATAGAGGGCATGTATGATAAAGTGTTCATTGTGCTGTGTGTTAATAAGTGCATAGGGAAGGAAGAGGAGTCAGAGTACTTGGTAGAAGTGGGACTTGAGTTGAGCTTTGAAAGGTGGTAGTTATGTTTCAGAAACAGTGTTCAAAGAACATTAGTAAGAGCCATAATGGTATTTTCCACTTCTATAATTCTCTTGGTATAGTTTGTACTTACAGTTTTTTTTTTCCTTTGAATTATTTTAAAGATTTTAATTCACTGGGTTTTCGTAATTTTTTATTTTATTTTTGTTGCAGAATTCTTGTCTTATTTGATGAATAACGTCGTTGTTGTGCCTTTTTGCAAAGATGAAATGTATATTTTACATGTTTACCTCACTTTTGAACTACAGAGAGTTCCTTTTCAGTTGTATAAGTTGGGATATAAAATTTCATTTGTACCTTTCTTTCTGTTTTTGCATGTTCTTTCTCATTATTAATGGGAACATATGTACCTGCTCAGGACCTTAACTTTGGGTAATACTGTAGGCGGAAGGGATTTCTATCAAATGACTCAAGATCATCCATAACCTAGTGAATACTTCTTTTCCTTCCCATGAGTAATTTATCAAAGAGACTTCTGTTTTCATAGGCAATTACATGCAAATCACTGAACTCCGGTAATGTTAATCTCTTCATCTCGTGTCATAATTAAAAAAGATGGACTTGTTGATGTCTAATATGTCATCTAACATGTGATAATTGCCTGGTTTAGGTACAAGATCCACCATGTCCCTTAAATCCTTTCTTGTGTATAGTGCCCATCACCTCACAAATGACTGTTCTGTGGACACCTTTTATCTTAAGGATGTTATACAGTTTGTTAGCAACTTGTTTTATTGCAAGTAGGGGCCGCATTTCTGCTATGGGGGAAAAGGGAAGGCATAGCTGCTTTGTGGCTCTATTTTAATTGTTACTGCTGCTTAATATCTCACCTAAACTGGTCTTCAGATCTAATGTCAAATAAAGAAGTAGAGCTTGTTACCTTGTTGGTCTTGCCAACTACTTTTGGAACCTGTTGGACCTGGGAGATGAAGCTCTTAAACCACAGTTAGGCCCAATGAATACATTCTTCTCTGCATTGCAGGAGGTTCCTTTTCCCTCAGATTTTTGTACTTGGAATTCAGCTATATTATTAGTAGTCCACATGAGAATTATACCATTATATCCTTAAAGTAATTTAGCTAATGAACATAGTAGCATCTCTTCCATATTTTTTCTGTCTCTTCCTGTTCTATCTACCTTCTTTCTCCCAATATGCGTACATAGAATTTTTTAAGCACTTGGTGAAGCTTATTGTCCTAACTAATAGATTTCAATTGGTGACAGGTAGTTACTTACTTAAAAGAGGCTAAGGAACAAGTACGCTAGTGCTCATATTGTGTTTTTTCCTTCCCATAGGTTCCAATGATTTTGGTTGGCAATAAATGTGACCTGGAAGATGAACGAGTAGTTGGCAAAGAACAGGGTCAGAACTTAGCAAGACAGTGGTGTAACTGTGCCTTTTTAGAATCTTCTGCAAAGTCAAAGATCAACGTTAACGAGGTAACCTACAGCTGCTAGACAGCACAAATAAGTGCCTTTTTAGTTATCTTTCTTTTAAGGTAATAGCCAAAACCAAATTTTTTGAAGAAAAAAAAATTGTTCTTCTAATTGGTCTTGAATCTATCAGTGTACAGAGAACACTAAGTAATTCCTAGAAACCATATTTTCTCACTTACATAAAATCACTTTGATGGTTGTGATGAAGACACTTATATTTACCTTACTGGCAAAGAGAAAGTTTAAGTTAAACAATGTGTTTGAAGTCCTGCTAAGCTTCTGAATGATATGCCGGAAGGTAGTATGTGCAGATTGTCCTATCACCCTTGCACAGTTATCTATGCACATGTGTGTAAATAGGTTGTAAAGTCAAGTAGGAAAATATAAAAATCAAAGTAGTTATTGAGCTTATGAACTTAGGTTATACAGAAAGATATATGAGGTAATACATCATGGGTATCCCAGAATTTGGTGTTTTGAGTCAGGCCTTCCTTTGGTTTCTAACTCATGGGAGAAATCTGAGCATAGACGTGGAACTAGAATTCACCCACTCTTTGAGGCCTGATGAGGCAGGTGCCCAAGGCTTTTTTCGTCTCTGACTTAAGCCTTCCAACCATCTTGAGAACAAAGCTGTGACAGGACATGCTTAATCAGCATGCCCACTGACTGGGTGTCAGTCCAGTACCCTACTGGATCCCTGAAGATCTGTGCAGTTCCAACTAGCACCACCAACCGACCAAAACCTCAAGAGGTTCTCTTTGCTTTTGTTAATTTTAACATATTTAACATAAGCTTTTTAAAACAACGAACCAACCAGAGGAGGCTTCTCTCCTTTCCCTGTAATGCATAAGTCTTCACTGGCCTGTTTGCTTGTCATTTGTGGCATCACAGGTAATCTGTCAGCTCAGCTCACTCATAACATATGTGAGAGTTACAAGGGCCTTAGGTTATCAGCATCCTGTGTTTTTGTTTGCTGTTCCTGTCTGGCCTTTGGGTCTGTAGGTCATTTTTCCTTGACTTAATATTATGCTTGTAGGCTGTTGTTTGACTTTTAAAATGATTAAGTTACTTTAAACATCTGACAGGCAAAAAAATTGAGCTTGTTGCACATCCTCTCTTTTTAAATAACCAAGAATGTTAAAGCTTGCTTTGTTAGGTAAAACCAATTTTTGTAAGTACATAAAATATTCATAAATTTCATTATTCAGCAGATACTGATTGTGTACCTGTGTGTCTGGCAGTGTGTCGGGCACTGGGGTAACAGTGATCCAGACAGACACTGTTTCTGCCCTAGAGAAGTTTACATCCTAGTGGGTGAGATCTTCAGCAGTCATTTCTTTTTCATTGCCAAGTAAATGAAAGGAAGTATGATACGCTTTTAGCTTTAGCTTTCTCTGTTGTGGAATTAGAGTTTTATAGATATTATTTAGAAAAATGTAACTAATGATAAAATTCTAAGTTGTTTTTTTTTTTTTTTAATTTTATTTATTTGAGAGAGCGTTCATACAAGGTGGGGGGACAGCAGGAGAGGGAGAAGCAGACTCCCTTCTGAGCAGGGAGCCTGATATAGGGCTCCATCCCAGGACCAGGATCATGACCTGAGCTGAAGGCAGATACTCAACCAACTGAGCCCCTAAAATTTTAAGTTTTCATACAGTCTTTTCTCAAAAAAGAAAGGAAGGAAGGAAGAAAAAGAAAAGAAAAGGAAAACAGAGATAAAAAGCATTGGGAGGGGGCTTATGCATCCTTGCATGCTCGCTGTCTCACAAATAAATCAATCTTGGGGGGAAAAAGCATTAGGATGATGCGTGAGGTTGGCTAGGGAAACAGTAGTGCAGGGTCACCACTGTAGGATGATTGACCTTAGGGATCTGGTTCCTTGCTATCCCTGTTCTCACCCTCACTGGTACCTGCCCACCAGGTTCACAGGACATGGCTCTCTGGGGCTGAGTGGGGTCAGGATCCACTGAGCACCATGGGCTGGTGGTGTTCCTTACTTATAAAGCATTAAATGTTTGTGGGAACTCCTCTGCTACTTGTTAAGCCTCCTGGATTATAGTTTCCAGTGCCCCAGAGCTCTGTTTTCACAGCAGTGTTGTTAAACCTTGATGTGAGGGTTTATTAAATGTGGAGAACAGTAAAACAATATGGAATACGTTAGCTATTTAAGGCTCTTTACTCTTGTGAGGGACATACAAACTTTAAACTAGCGTATAATATTTGAGTTTCTTTTAATGTTTCTCTCTCTGTAGCCTGATAATACAGATACAGAGTTCCTTTGATAGTTAATAGTTCATCAGACAGCTAATGCTTTGTGAATATACATGGGATTTCTGTTGGATTCAAATTTCAGATCACACAGGGACATACTGCTTGGCTAAATAACCCTCTAGTTCCTGCCACCTATAGCAGAGTATACATGTTCAACTCTTATCCACGCCAGTTTTGCTATGTTCTGAAAGTGGAATCACAGTTCTTTGCTGAGGCTGGAATCATAATTGGAATCAAGACATCCCAGTTGAGTAATGGCAGAAGGATTGGGAAAGTATTCTTTATTCACTTTAGATTTTCCTGGGGATCAGAGAGAGATGAGGAAGGACCTAGGTGGAGGCCTCTGAGTGTGTCTAACCAAATACTTACTATAGCTTGAACTTGCCTTCATCACTGAACCAGCTGTTGGAGTGAGGTGGGCCTCATTTGCCAAAGAAGTCATTGAGGATATCACTGCGAAATCAGTCAGTGTAGTACAGAAACCCCAAACTAGCTGGCATGAAGAAACATATGGCTTTGATTCTTTGACTATTTTAGTTTATCCTTTTAGTTTTTTATCTTATAGTTTATGCATTAAGGCTGGGGAACAAATGAGAACTTGTTCGTGGCTATGCATATTAAGTTCTTAGAGGGTTCCAGAATTGTGAAACAAACTGCTGTTTTGTTCGCAAATCCAGTGTTTTCAGCTTTCTTAGAAATAACATAATAGAGAACTTAAATGGTTTGAAAAAGATGGCAGTGGGGAGGATAGAGCAGAAAGAAAGGAGTATAAATGAATCACTTAAAGCTTTGAGACAAATCACTCAATAGTGGCTTTTTTTTCCTTTTTAATAATTAGCCTTTTAATCTTAGGACCATTTTTAAAAATACATGAAATTGTTTTATCTGAGGACCATCTTAAAAAATGATTTTAAAAATTATTTTACTTTTAAAATTTACTGAAAGTATTTAAGAACAATAAGAATTTGTTTACTCTTCATCCAGATTCACCAGTTAACATTCTGTCAGTGTTTACGTATCAAACTCCTTTACTCCCAAATACGTTAGTGTATGTACCATTATATCAAAGACATTTTCTTACGCAACCACAACGCAGTTACTAAAATCAAGAAAATTGTTATTTGCACAGTCCCTGTTCAGTGCATATTCAGATTTTGTTGTTTGTCCCTGTAACTTTTGATAAACTTTTTTTTTTAAGATTTTATTTATTTATTTATTTGACAGAGAGAGAGAGAGAGAGAGATCACAAGCAGGCAGAGAGGCAGGCAGAGGCAGAGAGAGAAGCAGGCTCCCCACTGAGCAAGGAGCCTGATGTGGGGCTTGATCCCAGGACCCTGAGATCATGACCTGAGCTGAAGGCAGCAGCTTAACCCACTGAGCCACCCAGGCGCCCCACTTTTGAAATACTTTTACAAAGCGCTATTTATTACAGACGAGTCATAGTAAAGAGTTTCTGTGATTTTTGCTTCTCAGGTCATTAGTTAGTAAGTATTTGCATTTCAGAGCAAAGAACCAAATTCATCTGATCTGTTTAATTGTTCCAATATTTGGGCATACTTAGCACTGTGAAACATATAAACACGTCAGAATTAAAATAATCTGCTTCTGTGAAATAAATACTATTGAATTTATGTCTTTGATGCCTTCCATTTTTCATCCAAAATGAATCAAAAAGATGTATTAATAGAGATTGTCACTTCAGTTGGGGGTCACATACTTTTTCTCTTTTTCACTTTAGCCAAAATTAATAGCACCAAAAACAGCAAACATAAATCATATGCTTTTACATGTGGTATCTCGAGAGGAACATGGTATCTCTTCTGTCCTATTCTAGCCAAAAATATACATAAATCTTAGCATGAGGAAAGATCAGACAAACCCAAACTGAGGGAAATTATATAAAGTTACTAACCATCTCTTTTCAGAAATGACAATGTCATGAAAGCCAAAGACTGAAGAACTATTCCAGATTTTAAGATATTAAAGTGACAGAAAATTAAATGCAGTATGTGATCCTAGATGAATCCTTTGAGGGTGGGGAGCAGGAATTCTATATAGGACATCATTGGGGTAACTGATAAAATTGGGATCTGCACTGTAGATGATACAGAGTAACATATCAGTGCTTAAATGTATTCGATGTATAACTGTAACATGGTTATGGAAGAATATCCTTGCTCTTAGAAGATATACACTCAACCACTAAGGGCCCTGTTGTATGCAGACTACTCTCCGATGATTTAGAAAATAAGAATGTATTTAGAGAGAAATGATAAAGTTCACATGGCTAAATGTTACTAATTGGTGAATTTGGGTAAAGAATATACACCAGTCCTTAGTATTCTTGCAACTTCTCTGTAAGTTTGAAGTTTTTTATTTTCATTTAAAGATTTATTTAAGAGAGAGAAAGCAAGCACACATGAGAGCGAGGGGAGGAGCAGAGGGAGAGGGAGACAAGCAGACTCTGTGCTGAGCGGGAAGCCAGTCATGGGGCTTGATCCCAGGACATTGAGATCCTGTCCTGAGCTGAAATCAAGAGTCAGACACTTAACCAGCTGAGCCACCAAGGTACCCCAAGTTTGAAGTTTTTAAAAAACAAAATAAATGTGTTCATATTCAAGTTGACCATCAACTGTTCCCTTAATCATTATGTTTTGAAGCATATAAGATTCCATGAGGAATAAAACGTCACTACCTTGTTTTTCACTACTGATATTTTTCTTGTTAATATTGAATATTTAAGAGCAAGTTTTTAACCTTGTTTTTCACTACCTTGTTTTTCACTACTAATTTTTTTTCTTAAGTCGATATTGAATATCTAAGAGCAAGTTTTTTCCCTCGTGGTAAGTTGATAAGTCTTGCTTTACCCTGACCGAGAGCCACGTTTTAAGAAACCTGCTGTTAAAGCAGCAAAATACAGATCCAAGAGCAGAATAACATTTAACAGAACCAAGGTGGTTTTGTAGAGCAAAAGCTCAAGTGTTTGTTGAATAAGACTTTTTTTTCTTGTGTTGTGTTTTGTTTTGTTTTGTTTTGTTTTGTTTTAGATATTTTATGACCTGGTCAGACAGATAAATAGAAAAACACCAGTGGAAAAGAAGAAGCCTAAAAAGAAATCATGTCTGCTGCTTTAGACCCACAGTAAGCAGCAGCTCTGAGCCAGGTAAGATACTGAAAACAGAACAAATGCCTTGCTCATGCTCTTACTTTGGGCTTTCCCCAACCCTAACCACTTCCCATTTCACTTGTTAGGGTATTTCCAGGTTTCTGCATCTTGTAAATGTGATATATAGCGTGTAGATGTGTTCATCTATTGCTAATTTGTCTCTCTCCTTATGAGATTGTAAGCTGACTGAGGGTGAGGACCACAGATGTTTTGTTCACTGCTGTGTCCCCAGTGCCGGCTACAGAACGAGTATTCCAAAAATAGAATTCCTTCCAGGGTCCCTCCTGAGTTCCTGGCAAATTAAAGTCGAATGTGGTTCATCTGAAACAAAATGCTTAAGTGCACATTTGATACGTTATTTCGAAGTGAACACACCTTTGTGTATCAGTAATAGTCATTCCTCCCCCAGTGTAACCCCTGCCCTGATTCCCAACACCATCATTGGTTTTGCCTCTCTTTGAACTTAACATTCGCAAAAACAGGTATTATGTCTGGCTGCTTTTACTCAAAAATATGTTTTCGAGAATTATCTTAATAAAGATGTAACTGCAGTACCATATGGCAGTAGTTCATTTTTATTGTGTGACTGTACTAGCAGTCTGTTTATGTATTTTGCTCTTGATGGACATTTATATTTTTGAGAACTTTATGGATAATTCTGTGCAGTCTTGCATGAGTCTTTATGCACATGTGCATCATTTCTCTTTGGTGTGTACCTAGGAACAAAATGGCCAGACTATACACTTATATATAGGAGACCAGCTTTAGTAGATACTGCTAAAAGGTTTTTCAAGGCAATTGGACCAATTTATACACTTGCTAGCAGCTGATGAGTTCCACGTCCTCCCCAGAGTTGGTGTTGTCAGTCTTTTTAACTCAAGCCATTCTGCTGGCTGTCTGATGCTATGTTTTGGTAGTCATTTCCTCTCGGGTCTAGTTTGATTTCTTTGAAATGTTTTGTCTGTAGACTTCTAAGTATAGTTGACTTTAGTACCATTTAAGTTTTCATTAAAGTGACCCCACTGGAGAGAAATTAGTGGCAGCATTGAAGCTGCCTGTCAAGTGAAAAACCACGCCCTGTGGGAACCATGTGTTTTTCTCTAATTATGTATATGAAATCCCCTGAACAGTGTCTACTTATCTTCACGAACTCTACAAACTATACCATAATGGGATATTTTCATGAAGTGATTTTATGAGGTCATTTGATGCTGGTTATGTGCATATTACTAATCTAGGTCTAGTTAGAGGAACGTCTACTGTTCCCACTTGAGAGTTGGTTACACTTAGTCTTGTTAGTCGCTTGGGTCCATCAAGCAGATTACCTGTTCCAGAGCACCAAATTAATGAATATGTGCTTCCTTAGAGACCTAGATGAATCTCTCTCTTCAGGGAAACAACTGTGTAATTGTACCCCCCCTTTAATTTAGTTTAATTTAATTTTCTTGGTACCCTCCCTTCCTAAATGAAGGTCAAGGAAAATGGGGAGAAAGGAGGGAACAGCATGGGATTGCTTCTGATTGGATTTAAGAAAGACAGATTCTGGTCAGATGTTTGCTTTATGCTTTTAGTGAAATCTTGACTCAATAACTGTAAATCATTAGCTCCCTGAAGGTGATGATTTTAAAATTTGCTGGTGTTTGTTTAGGTAAGGATGCAAAGGTAAGGAAAATAGGACTCCAGTTCCTATTCTGAGCTATATCACCTAACTCTCTTACTTAAGTCAACTATAGTTGATTGACTTGCTGATGCCATTACCTTAGCTGACCCTAGTTTAATTTCCAGTTCTCTAGAAAATGTTCTAGCTTATGTTTAAAGGAAGAGGTGCCATCTCCTGGCCTGTTACAAAAATTCATTCATATACACCCTGCAGTGTATTGTGTATTACCTGAGAGAAGAGAAATCTTGGCCTTCATCTAGAAATGAGATTTTCATCCTGGTTGTATAAATTCTTGGGTTCTGATATGTAACTCGGCCTAACAATATATTTAATAAGTCACCTGAACAAATGATGGGTCAGTTAGCAGTCAGAATACTTGGCAGAGCAAAGAAATCACAGAGTGATTATAGACTGGAAGTGCCATGTTGGTTCCACTTGAAAAGTATCAAGATAAGGGGTAAATTTAAGTAGCTATGTATGTTTTTAGTAAGAGTACATGAACCATAAGGGCAGTGTATCTGACCTTGCCCTTTAAGCAAGATTGTATTGAAACATGTTAATCTCTTTTTAGTATGTCCCACTTCTAAAGACTCGAAGAGGAAATTCTTCCTTTAACCTAGTTCTTTTCTGCTGAGCAATACAACTAATGTGGAGCCTTCTGCCCTTGCATATGGGGGTCAGCTCTTTCTGTGTCATCTCTTCTGGTCCTAACCTGTATTAGAGGTGGTAATCCTAGGGACACCTGCATGGCTCAGTCGGTTAAGCGTCTGACTCTTGGTTTCAGCTCAGGTCATGATCTCAGGGTCATGAAATTGAGCCCCTCCGACGAGCCCTAGCATTGGGCACCATGCTCAGCATGGAGTGTGCTTAAGGGATTCACTCTCTCTCTCTCCCCACCCCTCCTCCCATTTGTGTGCACACTCGCTCACTCGCTCTCTAAAATAAATAAAATCTTAAAAAAAAAAAAAGTGGTAATCCTAATACTCTATAGTTCTGAAATGATTGGATAAAGAAATTTTATACACAGGTGTCATTTCCTTTTTGGGGAAAAAAAAAGATGATAATGGGATAGAAATAAAATAATGACTGTTTTCCTTTTTACACACAGGACTGTCAGATGGTGAAATTAATAAAACTAAAATGGCCCTGTTACTGTAGCTGTTTAGTATAATTTAGTTGTCTAGTAACAATCAGCCCATATCTGTTTCTTTCTCTATGATTATCTGCTTGTTCACTACCATCTTCTGACATCAAGAGGTTAGCCATATCTATGTATATATATAAATATATATCTGTTCAATGTTCTAGATTACAGGAATGAAGAACTGTTGCCTAATTGGGAAGTGCCAGCATTCCAGACTTCAAAAAATTAAATCTGAAGAGGCTTCTCCTGTTTTATATATTATGTGAAGAATTTAAATCTTATATTGGTTTGCACAAATTCCCTGGAGAAAAAAAATTGCTCTGTGTATATCTCTTGGAAAATAAGACAATAGTATTTCTCCTTTGCAATAGCAGTTATAACAGATGTGAAAATAAATATACTTGACTCTAATATGATTATACAAAAGAGCATGGATGCATTTCAAATGTTAGATATTGCTACTATAATCAGATGATTTCATATTGACCTTTTTATCATGATTCTTCCCTGTCAAGCACTAAAAGTTGAACCATTATACTTTATATCTGTAATGATATAGATTATGAAATTTCCCCTCAAACTCATTGCAGCAGATAACTTTTTGAGTCATTGACTTCATTTTATATTTAAAAATTATGAAATATCATTCTGTCATTATATTCTAATTAAAATTGTGCATAATGCTTTGGAAAAATGGGTCTTTTATAGGAAAAAAAACTGGGATAACTGATTTCTATGGCTTTCAAAGCTAAAATATATAATATACTAAACCAACTCTAATATTGCTTCTTGTGTTTTACTGTCAGATTAAATTACAGCTTTTATGGATGATTAAATTTTAGTACATTTTCATTTGGTTTGTGTGTTTTTGTTATTGTTTATAGATTTAAGGCTTTTATTTTATAATGGCCACATTGTTTTAAATGCAGTAGTTCCTTTCTGCCTGTACCTACAGAACACTTGGCTTTAAACCCCTAAGTCATTAGTAATTTCTCTAAGAACAGACCTCACACTTTCTGTTCTAGATGTATTTATTACTCCTATACAGCAGACTACATCAGACTACATAGAATAGTTTTGTATATTCTCTCTTGATCTTAAAGATTGTATCTTATTGAATAAGATATCCCACTGTGTATTATTTTTATATGTAAAAATAAGTTTAATACTGTATCAGGGGTTAACTTTACTATTTAAAATCTTCCACAGCTTGTAATTTCATCAAGGGAATCCTTTTGTCATTGTTAATTTGTTGGGCATAAGCCCACCAATGAAATGTTATGTAAAAATATTCAGATTTGCTTTATAATAGATTGAAGAATTTGAGAAAAGTGGGAAAAAGTGAAAAAGCATACAAAGAATGTATCAGTTGCTTTTGCTTCGACTATATATGAGGTAGTATAGTAGTCGTAGTATGGAAAAAATCGCTAAGTTAAAATTTTAGCTGGCTATATAGTGGTGCTTTTCTTTTCCTTCCCAGTTGTTTCTGTTTTTACAAAGATGGCGCTCGATGAGGACATGGATCTAGGGTATCAGTATGATTTACGTGTTCTCCATAGAGGTAGAGCAGAACAGCTTGTCAGCCAGTTAAGTGCTGGTGAAGGAAAGAAACAAGCTGAGAAAACCCTGTGCCTTGTTCCTGAATACTGAGGAGAAGACTAGTCCTAGAAAGTCTACATCACTGCTCAGGGATCTAGATACTGTCTCGCTGCAACCAGGTGTGAAGTAGTGTTCAGACCTTGCTGAGACTTTCCAGGAATGTGGTCAGGCCATCGGTTACTAAATTCAGATTTAGGAATAAGATTTCAAATGTAAACTCTGACCAACATGAGAAAATGTTAAAATATTGTTTAAAAAAAAAATTTTTTGGAAATTGTATTCTTTTGAGTTTCTAATAAATTTAGTTAACTAATACTTTCCATCTACTGATCCAGTGACATGTATGCCTGGGATTAAGGGGCCAAAAATCTAATAAATGCAATAAATTAAAAATAAATAAGTGAAGCATTAGGGCCAGTTTGTCCAGGTCAAGGTAGCATAATTTAAGGTCCTTTGGAGCCATTCTGCTTGAAGACTCACCTCTCAGACATTCTTTTGGACTTAAAATCATAGACAAACATCTCACACATCAGTAAAAATCGCTAAATATTACCTGTTCCATAGGTTGTGGTGTTATTTGCCAGATAGATACAAAATCATTAAGTAAGAGTAACTCCCAAGTTAGAATCTGCTGGACTAAAGCATCAGTTTGTCCTGTTTTAGTACGTGGAAGAGAAAGACAGTGCTGGATTCCTTGGTCACATCTTGCACAGTCCACTCGGGATGCGATAGGACTGTGAGGAGATGTCCCGGCAGGACCTGCTGAAGTCAGGGACGTGCGTGCTGTTGCCAGGGAACCTGCCGCTGCTGAGTGAGGCACAAGGGTGGCCTGTCAGAAAGGGAGATGCGTGTGCTTTCATCTTGTCCCTGTGGACTCTGTAGTCTTCGTTCCAGAGGGGAAGGAGCCCCAAAATAAGATGTAGTTGATGTATTTTTTATAGCTGAAAAGTCAAAAAGCCCTCAAGGATATTATATATGAATCTCATACGATAAGTATCCAAGAACCGACACGACGTTTGTATTTGTGACTCTTTAAAGTACGATGCCTTTGGCAGATGAGTAACGTATATAATTTAAAGGAGGCTTGATATCATAGTTGATAATTTTTCCCCCATTAAAACAAATGACTAATGGCTTAACTAGTGCCCCCAAACAATCTAGTTTTAAACAGTAAATACATAATCTATCATTCTACCCTCCACCAGGGGGAGCTTCAGTATCAGCTAAATCTTTCTACAAGCCTTGAATGAATGGTATGAATTCAATCCATTTGTTCTTATATATAAAACGCTGCTTGCTTCACAAAAAGGCATGAGGGCCTTTCCTCAAGAATTTGCAATCTACCGGGCAGGAAAGATAGGTAAGAAATTCATCAAAGATATGAAAATGCTGTAATTTATTAAACGGTGGTCACAGAGTTCTCTTAGGAACGTTTGGAGAAATATGGGTATTGGTATGTTACTCTCTTTCCCCCACAGCTTTGAAGTAATCTCTCTTTGGCATCTTGATCTGCCATCATAACTGACCACCTTTTACCCCTCAGTGAAACAGTCTGCTTCTTTGCAGTTAGAACGTACGTAGGAAAAATTAATCTTTGGGAAGGCACTGATCTTTACCTTATTACCAGCATTATTAAAACAGGTTACTTGGTCTGGAGCTATTTTTCTCTATATAGGAACGTTCTCCATTACCTGGACCTGCCCAGGTTTAAATATTTTTGCCTCTTTTTTTCTCATTAGGTACACATATTTGTTAGGTCGTATATCTGATTTTTGTTTTTAGGACTGAGAAACAGAAAGATTACCTCAGTATTTTCCTTGTTAAGCAATCACAGTAGAAAGCTAGAAGACCTAAAATATGCTCTTGTAAGTTGTATGTGTGTAATGAAACCAGCGTGTGAAGAGATTGGTATGTGGAGGAAGAATATAGCTTGTAAAATAACCTTTTGTTTTATTTGGGTCTTGTACTTAATTTAAGGTGCTACTTAAATATGTATTAAAATAGCTCCTCTTGGCTCGGCTCCAAACTTAAAAGGGCAGAGTGGTTTGGCTACTTGTCCAGGATCTGGAAAAAGCCCATCTTGTTCAGGGAAGGAAATGAATGTGAGCTTTGAGGTAGTACAACCACCAAGCTTTTAGTACTTCTATTCCCCCAAAATGTAAAAAATGCAAGGTATTCTTGAAAATGTAGTACAGACATTACATTGAATATGAAATTTTTTTTCACTGCAGTTCCATCTTGGGTTCGCTGAATGCACAGTCCATTTATTTAATGCCGTGTCTTAACTTAAATATTCTTGTTGAGAACAGTTGGAGACTTTGAACTAGATGCCTAGTTCAGTTTTCTGGGAAGGCGACATGGATTCTGTTTCGCAGACATTAAGAAGAGCTTTAAAAGGGAATTGGGGGATATAGCTCTGGCTTTTTAAGAAGCAGCCTCCTGTGGTTCTGGGCTCAAGGTGTGACATACATTTCCTGCTAATTGCTTCTCTTAAGAAGCATGGGCTTGGCTGTTCCTCTTGAGGAAAAACCTTAATAAACCTTCCCGTTTTAAGCAGTGATGTGACTCTTATTTTGAGCTGTTGTTTTCAATGTGTTTGTCTTTTTGTAAAGCTTAACCATGTGCAAGTTCTTGTGCTTTTCAACCATTTAAAAATTCTTGCAGGCCATAAAAAGCAGATGATCCTTAGGGGCCTATCAGCAAATAGGTGCTTCCACTCTATGCCTGGTTCCGATCTGCATGTTGGGGATACAGCGGTGAACAATACAAAACACAGCCTCTTCCCTCGTGGAATCTTCAGCAGGAGACCGAACACGTCCGTGTGTGTGCGTGTGTTTGTGTGTACGCGCAATGAGGAGTGCTGTGGAGAAGGGTTAATGGGATAGGACCTTCAGAGTGCTGGGAAGAGAGAATGTTGCGGTGGGTCGAAGCTTTCTATCCTTGTTGAAGCTCCTCTTTGTGTAAATGTGTGAAATGTGCAGCCCACACAGCTGCTGGGAGGAAAGAATGGCCTTCGCGCGTCGGGAAGGATCTTCAAATGCCATGAGGTGGACGTGTGCCTACGTGTCGAAGTACTAGCGTTGGCCGCGTGAGGACCACAGAAGGGGCTTTAGCAATAGGTACAAAGAGCATGATCTGACTCAGCCTCTCATCAGGACACTCTGGCTGCCGAGTTGACAATAGCCTGTGAAGAGCAGTTAGGAGAAAGTGGAGCCACCAAGACCTCTTGAGAGGAGTGAAGGATGACCCCCCAGATTTCTTGCCAGTAACCAAGATAGTAAAGTTTGTGGCAGGAGCAGTTTTGGGATTTCCATTTTTGAATAGACTAAGTGTTAGGGATGGGTCAGGTCCTGGAGTTGCACCGTAGGCAGTTGGGTCAGTGTCTGGAATTCAGATGAAGAGACCTGGACGGGAGATTCAACGTTGAATGTTTAGGAACACGGACCTAGCGTTAGGACCTTAGTATTGATTGTAGATAGAGAAGTTCAGGGACTCCATCATGAGGTCAGGAGATGAGGAGGGTTTGGCCAAGGAGAACATGAAGGTCGTTGGAGATAACCAGGTGTGGACTGGTAACAGCCCATGTTGGTGCCCTAATGGGCATAGCCCACAGAAGAGGCAAACTGAATAGGGCCACATGGACGGAATCTAGCATACAAGTAAAGGGCCTGAATAGGGCCAGAGACTGGGAGGTCACAAAGAACTTATAAAAAGTACCATAAAGAAGTGTTACACAAAGAAGTAGGAGATAGAAGGGACCGATGCTTTCTGTTGTGCGAGAGCCGAAATGCTTCAGGGAGTGGAGTTTGAACTAGGCCTTAAAGGGTATAACTTCAATAGGTGAGAGTGGGGGGGTAGTGTCACAGACAGATACGCAGAAAACGGGAGCGAGAAGTTGGCACTAATGTGGAAGTGATGGGTTGGGGAGTAGAGTGGAGCCATATTGTGGCAGACTTTGAAAGGAGGGGGTGACCATCTAGTAGGGTGAGCTAGGAAAATAGGGCAGCTCATCCAGGGGTTACAGAGAACGTGGGGATGGGGAAATTTCAGAAGAGATCTGGGCAAAAATGCCAGGGTTGCAAGGGTGACTCCCCATGGGCGAATGGTCTTTCCAGTCTTCATTTCTTAATTCGTTTTCCCCGTCTCTACTGAAGCTGGTCTGAGTCATGTGGTCATGATCCTTTGCAAACAGAAGCTCAACTTAGAAGGAAACCAGCATTAATCCTCTGGCATGCAAAGATACTAGACAGGATTGAAGAGTAAAATGTCCTTTATTAACTCCATGGCTCTGCTCTACCTAACATGATTTTGCTCCCCTTTAGGTCTTTTGGTCTCTCAGGGGCAGGCAGCAACTCTCAGTCCCACTCTCACACCCTCCCAAGTTTTCCTCTCCCTGCTCTTAGCTCCCAGTGGGAGACAGCAGCCTCTGGCCCTCCCAACCCTTCCCTCCGAATCCACCAGTGACCCAGAAGTCTAGGAAGGGGGCTCTTTTCCTTAATGGGTAGCTGCCAGGTCCCATCATCCAGGCCTCCCCTCGTGGCTGAAAGGAAAGACACAGGCCACACTGTAGCCCCCGTCCACCTTTTCCCTCGCATCACCAGTATCCCCAGTTGGGTGGTTGGGGAATTTGAAGGAGCTACCAGGGTTAAGGGGATGATAACCATGCAGCCTTCCCAGCTGAGAAAATAGGGCATGGAATTGTGGCACAGGCACTGGGAGCTGCCTGCCTTTCCAAGGAGGGGATACATTTAATGGAGAAGTTTAAAGAAGGTATCTGATCCCCACACTCCCAGCAGGGTCCCGAAGCCAACGCCGGAGGATCTGGAATTCTTTAGGCCCTTGAAATCTCAGATGCAGGGCCTAACCCCTTATTTCCTGCTATATAAATGGACTTACATTAACAGATGCTTGGGACCTCAGACCAGAGATTCTAACACCTGCCTAAGTCAGTCTGGCTGGGTGCTCCCTGTGATAGAGAGCCGGCTCCCTGGCCGCTCCTGCATTGTCGCAGTGCGCAGAGCAGGCTTCAAGCCAGTGCTCACAGGCCTGCCGGCTTTCTGGGGCCAAGCTCCCAGGCGGAGTCCATCTAATTCAGGTGCTACACTTGGCCCACTGGGAGGAATCTCTGTTGGTTTTTTCTGTTTTGTTTTGTTTTTTTCTTTTTTTGCTTAAAAAAAAAGTTTATGCCTCCTACCCTCCTCTTTCCCACCACTTTACACCAATGACTACAAATGCTGCCTTGTGGGCAGCT